CAACAGACAACATGAGTCACACATTGCCATGATGACTTTGTTTTATACGACTTTAACGTCGTAATATTATGACTTTATTCTCGTAATTAAAAAATAAAAAATATATCGTTTTGTGGCCCTAATACTCCATTGTACTAAAGCACTAACACGCTAAAAATTTTAGCAAAAGCTAATTCTAAAGCACTAAAGTAACCCAGTCAACCCATGAACATTCTTCAACAGACAACATGAGTCACACATTGCCATGATGGTCTCTTGAGACTTATCACTGTATTTGAGTTCATATTTTGTCAATAAATTATCACTTGGTGGATAAGTGATACTCATATGAACAAAATGTGTGACAGCTTTCACCCTCTTCTGTTAACATTAACGTTGATCAATAACATTTATAGACCTCAGTTAGTGCTTCTAAATTTAGCTTCTAAGTTTAGCAAGTGCTAGTCCGCTAATAAATTTTAAAATTAGCAAAAGCCATAAAGCAACAATTAGGAAATTAGTTCCCCTATTAGTGTTTTAGTGCTTTAGGGGAACTGTGCCCACCACTGCATTTTTAGTATTTCAGGATGGAACACAGCCTTTGGTGCTCACTTTTTATTATGATGTCATCATCCTGAGATAAAAGCAACCACTAATGCTGCTAATGCTTACCTCGTACAAGACATTAAACTCACAGTTGCTGCCGGTGTCCGAGCTGTACTTCAAACTGCCAGACTACAAGTACCATCCATATTGTTCTCAATAAACACATTTTGAATTCCAGCTGTAAATGTCACTTTCAGCAGAGTTAGCAGTGTTAGCAGTTGCCTTTGTCTCAAAATGATGACATCACAACAACAGATGGTGTCAACAGCAAAGGGTTCYACTCCAGAATTCTTAAATGTAAGCTGCAACATTAAAAATTTTTTTTATACATTTAGATTTACACATTTAGGATTCAATATTTACATATAAACTTTAACATTTGAATTGAACATTAAAATGAGCAAAATGTAAGAACAGCGAGTTTAGTAGCAATAAAATATTTGTGGACATTTTTTTAACAAGCATTTCAGAAAGTGAGCTAAATAATGTAAATGTGTTAGTGACATTTTTAACATTTTATTCTACACTTGGCGTCCCATTGTAAACATAAGTCCTAATGCTGAACATTATGTATTTGACATTATCTCGAAAAACTCAATGAAATCCCCTTTTTCACTTGCCACATAATGCTCTAGCTCTACATTTTTTGAAATTGTCCTTAAAAAATTAGGAAAAGCTAAATACATCTGCATTTATAATCTGGGCTTGAATGATAAATCCCAATCATTTAGCTGATAGAACAGCTTAGCTCTTTTATAATGTGTAGTAAAAAGAGCAATGCTCTCTGCCCCTCACCCCCACCCCCCTCTTCTTCTTCCTTCACCCTAGACGCTCCGCACTCAACCCAACTAGTTTTTGCTTTTGTTTCCCCCCACCCCACCCCCTCTCCCAAAGTCCAATATGTCCACCACCTTTCCCCAGGGGACAGCAAACACAATTGTCCATCCTGCATTAGCTCACAAACATAATTCTACCAGTCATCTCCCCCTCCGATACAACCTATTCCTTTTTTTGTCATTACAGTTTCTTCTCTCTACAGTAGATTAGTTGTTACATTTATTTTAGAAACCTGAATCCATGTGCCTGTTGGATCTCATTATTTTTCCTGATGATACTGGTGCAGTATCATAACGTATGCATACGGACATTATTTCTCTGGTGCAATAAACATGTGCTGTGACCTAGGAGCACTTGATCTAACCTCACACACATGTTTATTATTGGCTCAAAGCATGTTTCAAAAGTGTCACCTCTGTATTTTCCCGAACCAATCTGGTGTCACTCCCATCCTTGACAGCCCCACTAAAGACAAGGAAATTTCATTTAAAATTCTATTCCGCAGTGGCTAATTGGGCCCCCCCTTTTTTTGCATGGTAGCCACTGACTTTGCTGATTGGAAGATGGCAGCCATTGAGGGACAGTCATTTGCACTGTCCCTTTTTGGAGAAGTATGGGGTTGCCACTGAAAACATGCCATTTTTTATATTTTTGCTCCTTGTCACCAGATACGCATGAGATGCAGTGATCATTGCAGTTTGTGCTCATGTTTTTTTTCCCCTTTTGTTCTCCAAGCGCAAAGCAAAACGAACCAAGACAAATTCGAATTCAAGTCACTCTGAACCAATGAGGCAGGGGTGAAAAAAAAAGACCCGCGCCTTTCAGTGAAACAGTTCAMCAGTGAGACACTGCATCCTATGTGGGATTTATCTGGGTTTGTTTTTTCTATTTACGCTGTCTCTGTAGTGCCATTTCAATGTAATGTGCTGTTTTTTGTGTCTTTGTTGTCTCTTTTTTTCCCTTGTTCCCCTTCTCCTTACCCTCCCCAAACCCCTCCCCTTCCCTCCCCACCCCCCGGAGCAGCATTCTGTCCCGCACAGGCAGGAAGGAGAACCAGGAAGCTTCCAATTTGGCCGTGCCCATGACCATGTGTCTTTTTCCTGTGCCATTCCCACTCACCCCATCTCTAAGACCACAAGTCAGTTCCATCAACCCTACAGTTACTCGCTCCCTCCTTTACAGCGTTCTGCGTGACGCCCCGTCAGACCGCGGGGGGCAGGGGCAGCAGAGTCGGGACGCTCAGCTCTCAGAGTACCCCTCTCTGGACTATCAGGGCCTCTATGTGACCCTCGTGACCCTGCTTGACCTGGTGCCCCTGCTGCAGCACGGTCAGCATGGTGAGTCAAGGCCCAGTGCACCACTGTTTGTCATCATCATCCTCGAGCTGCCTGGCCTGCATGAAGCCTCTGCTGCTTTTTTGGCCTCTTTTGTAACGGGAGGAGAGAAGTCCCGCTGAGGATCTTGAGGGATGCATGGGGGGTGATTGGGAGCACGCTGGATACGTCAACTTTCATAAGCCATTGGATACACCTGACATAGATAGGCCTTACCTTCTGTGTATCCTAGCTGACTGCATGTTTGTTATGCCAAGTGGGAAAAGTGCTCTAGTTATGTTGCCATGTGTCAAATACAAACAAATGTAATGGTTTTTTTTAATGAAAACATGTGAGAATGATTAAGTGTATATTCACTCTGTTTTGCACTGCTCCAAAGCTGCATCATAATCAGTGCTCTTATTTTTCATAAATATTTGTTGGTTAAAAAATAATCTCAAAGGCATGAAAATCCATTTTCTTACTAGATATTTTAAATCTTGTCCTGGGAGCAAACATTCTTGCAGTACCWTTTTAAAAAAGACTTTAAAACAATATCTGAATTGTTCCTTTTTTTTCTCCTTGTTAAAATATTAAACAACGATAATTTCATGTAACTGTCACATGTGGCTGCATACAGTTTGTGCATACTGCATGCACAGCTGATTGTGTGTTTGTGTATCTCTCTCTTTGTCTTTTTTTTCTTTTTTTCCTTTTCTCATCAGATCTGGGACAGTCTATATTTTACACAACAACATGCCTCCTGCCCTTTCTCAGCGATGACATTCTGAGCACTTTGCCCTATACAATGATCTCCACATTAGCCACATTTCCTCCGTTCCTCCACAAAGACATCATTGAGTACCTGAGCACGTCTTTCCTCCCCATGGCTATTTGTGAGTATTTCATAATGTAATAAAACTTTATGGTCCTGAGTAAAACAGCCAAGGTGCAGATTAGATTAAAGGTTCTCACTGCAATGTCATGAAAACTGCTCCCCAAAAAACATATAGCATAAAACAAATCTGCATAATTTTTTTTCTTTTATCAATAGTCAGTAAGTCATTAAAAAAATAATTTATAAGCAATATTTGTGAACAAATGCCAACTACCAAGTGTTTACTTACGACAGGGATGGGTAACTTAAATGATGGAAGGAGCCACAATATTTTTGTTGACACTACCAGAGGCCACATAGTGCTGCACTTTAATTATGTAATTATATATAATTATTATATAATAAATAAATAATAAAACTGTATATGTACAGTACAGTCCAAATGTTTAGACACACCTTCCCATTTAAAGAGTTTTCTTTATTTTCATGTCTATGAAAACTTTAGATTCACACTGAAGGCATCAAAACTATGAGTTAACACATRTAGAATCATATACTTAACAAAAAAGTGTGAAACAACTGAAAATATGTCTTATATTCTAGGTTCTTCAAAGTAGCCACCTTTTGCTTTGATTAATGCTTCGCACAACTCTTGGCATTCTCTTGATGAGCTTCAAGAGGTAGTCACCTGAAATGGTTTTCACTTCACAGGTGTACCCTGTCCAGAAGGTGGATACAGTACACAGCTGATTGTCCTACTGAATAGACTTAGAGTTTGTATTATGGCAAGAAAAAAGCAGCTAAGTAAAGAAAAACGAGTGGCCGTCATTACTTTAAGMAATGAAGGTCAGTCAGTCTGAAAAATTGGGAAAACTTTGMAAGTGTCTCCAAGTACAGTCGCAAAAACCATCAAGTGCTACAAAGAAACTGGCTCACATGAGGACCGCCCCAGGAAAAGAAGACCAAGAGTCACCTCTGCTGCAGACGATAAGTTCATCCGAGTCACCAGCCTCAGAAATGGCAGGTTAACCGCAGCTCAGATTAGAGAACAGGTCAATGCCACACAGAGTTCTAGAAGCAGACACATCTCTAGAACAACTGTGAAGAGGAGAATGTGTGAATCAGGCCTTCATGGTAAAATAGCTGCTTGGAAACCACTGCTAAGGACAGGCAACAAGCAGAAGAGACTTGTTTGGGCTAAAGAGCACAAGGAACAGACATTAGACCACTGGAACTCTGCTTTGGTCTGATGAGTCCAAGTTTGAGATCTTGGGTTCCCACCGTGTCTTTGTGTGACACAAAAAAGGTGAAAGAGATAGACTCTATCTCTGTCTCTGAGAGAGAGAGAGAGAGAGCCTGGTTCCCACCGTGAAGCATGGAGGAGGAGGTGTGATGGTGTGGGGGTGCTTTGCTGGTGACACTGTTGGGGATTTATTCAAAAGTGAAGGCACACTGAACCAGCATGTCTACCACAGCATCTTGCAGTGGCATGCTATTCCATCCAGTTTGCGTTTWGTTGGACCATCATTTATTTTTCAACAGGACAATGACCCCAAACACACCTCCAGRCTGTGTGAGGGCTATTTGACCAAGAAGGAGAGTGATGGGGTGCTGCGCCAGRTGAGCTGGCCTCCACAATCGAGATGGTTTGGGGTGAGCTGGACCGCARAGTGAAGGCAAAAGGAACAACAAGTGCTAAGCATCTCTGGGAACTCCTTCAAGGCTACTGGAAAACCATTTCATGTGACACATGCCAAAAGTGTGCGAAGCAATAATCAAAGCAAAAGGTGGCTCCTTTGAAGAACCTAGAATATTTGACATTGACATAAGACATATTTTCAGTTGTTTCACACTTTTTTTGTGAAGTATGTAATTCYACATGTGTTAATTTATAGTTTTGATGCCTTCAATGTGAATCTACAATTTTCATAATCATGAAAATCATGAAAATAAAGAAAATAAAGAAAACTCTTTAAATGAGAAGGTGTGTCCAAACTATATGTATATATATAGAGAGAGTTCAGGACAATCTTTTATGTTGGATTTCATACTTTATAATGAGTACTTTTAAACACACAAATGTTTACTCAACATAAATATATTTAGTTTAGAATTAGATTTGTTAAACCTAATACACATTTTTGTTTAGTCAGGCTTACATGTAGTAAAAATACTAAATTAAGTGGATATTGTTCATTTTTCTCTGCTTTTGCTTGTTTTTAGTGGGCTCCACTCGGAGAGAAGGAGGAGTACCGGCTTATGTTAATCTGTCGGCTTCATCTATGCTCATGATTGCAATGCAGTACACCTCAAATCCAGGTAGACCATAGTACTGACTACTTTAAAAGAAGAACTTCAAAAATAATTGCCCTCAGCTTAACAKTTTTCCTGCCTTTTTTCTAGTTTATCACTGTCAGTTGTTGGAGTGTCTCATGAAGCATAAACAGGAAGTGTGGAAGGTAATTATGATGTAGTATATTAGCTTAGCTTAACAATAATGACATTAATAACAGCAAGAAAAATCACACAGATCATTTATGACAACTATAATTAACTGTGGTTTTTAATTTCACTTCTAGATTTTCAAATATATTATACGATGGCAGTGATGCCTTAAATTAAAACAAAAATATTTTAGAGAATCTATTGGAATATTATATAAATTGCATTATTTGGATTTGCTGTTGCTTTTCGGGCAGTTTCGCAATAATAATGTAAAGTCAGCTGTGAAAGTCACTGCAGGGACTCAGGGTTACTGTTAGTGAACATATTTTGTTTCTGTATCCAAAATTTCAAGGCAACCCGTCTACATGTAAAGATAAAATATGAACAATATCCAGATGGACTAAGACAAAATATTTTGTTCATTAAATCAAAATTTGCTTGCTGGTTGCYAACATCTATGACAATATTTAAGGGACATTAGATATGTTTTTAWGCAACTTTAGTTTTAATTGTAGTTTTAGTACTTCTTACAGAATATAAACATGATCATAAATATTACAGTCCTTTTGTGTGCATTTTGTTTTGTATATACTGTGTACAGGACCTACTTTATGTCATTTCTTATGGCCCGTCTCAAGTAAAACCACCAGCTGTGCAAATGCTGTTTCATTACTGGCCAAACCTGAAGCCACCAGGAGCCATCAGTGAATATAGAGGGCTGCAGTACACTGGTAGGAGTCCCTAAAACAACAAACTTGATTTTAAGCATAATTAAACTGCTCAAACACAATTATTTCTCTTTTTTTCCTCTTCTGTTTAGCTTGGAATCCCATCCATTGTCAACACATTGAATGCCACAATGCCATCAATAAACCTGCCGTCAAGGTGACTACAGTTTTCAAAAACATAATAAAAACTCAACATTTTGTTTTATTCTTCCACTGAGAGCTTGATCAGAAATGCATGGAGCTTGTGTATGTCCACCTGTTTGCTTTTTATTAGCCACATAAATAAATAAATCAGTGGCRAGGCGCTCATATCGGCTGCTTCTCGGCTTTATCATCTCCGCCTGCCTTTACTCAACTGTGCTCAAAACTGACAAATAGAGTTGGAACAGGGAGCACGGATGGGGGCTGGATTTCAATTACCAGGAGCACGAAGGCGGCATACGGGGGAGGGGGGGCTTAATTGGAAGCGATGACCCCATGCAGCCCCGGAGGATGGGGTGGCATCAAGTGCGCACAGTAAATTACAGTGCACCATCTGAACATTGAGGCCATGAGCGTTTAGCACCGGGCCGGGCACAGTTTGTGAGAGAATGGACTGCAACATATGCACGCAGTCATCCTCGCACAGTGTGAGGAAACAGGTAAAGGTGTCAGACAATCTCATTTAAAACAGTACAATGTGTTATTTTACGTGATGACTGATAGAGATGCATGGATAAATAATTCATTCAGACTCATTTGTAAATCTGGTAAATGTTAATTAAAACCCTCTATATTTCAGTTGCCAAAWTATCATCCTCACAATATTTGTGTTACTTTTGCAGATGTGCATAGACCCTACTCTCTCCGTTGCACTGGGAGATAAACCACCTCCTCTTTATTTATGTGAGGAGTGCAGCCAGAGGATTGCCGGGTATGTGTCTGTTTTACCTCYTTTCTGCAACTCTCAGTCCTCTTAGTGCACAATRATTCCCAAACCCACATAGTCGCCTGCCTCATTATTCCTGTCTTTAACCCAGGGGGGAGCAGAACACCACAGTTATGTAATTCTCTCGCGCCGCTAATGAGATCCTCATAATAAAAACCGTGCATCCACTTGTTTATCCTTTCTCCAGAATGTCGACAATTATAATTACACGTTTTTGTTTATGTTGTATATTTCATGCTTCTGTAAGTAAAAAAAGGTTTGATGCTTAAGCTCTGTTAAAGATGTGAGAAGAGGTTTAATTGTATTTAAGCTCCGAGGAGCAGTTCTCCCATAAATCATGCACTGAGTTAAAATCTCTTTGACCTTTCCAGAGATCATCCTGAATGGCTCGTTGATGTTCTGCTGCCCCAAGGTGAGCATACACAACAGAAAACTTGCTTAAGTTGTTCTTGTGTTACAGTTTTATTTTTTTTTCTGACACTATAAAGGGGCATATTTGGTTCAAGTGGAAGGGGTTGAGCGGTGAAGTTATATACACAAAGATAAGACACTGAGTTTGAGTCCCATCCTAACTGAATATAAAGTAGCTTTAATTTATTATCAGATTTTTAGATTTTACTTACTGTGTTGAATTTTCCATTATTTCTTCATGTGGTACAAAATAGTTATGGCTAAAGTTCAGAGATAAAATAAGTCTTCATAACTACTTAGCACAAAAAGTAAGGAAATTTGTGTTTGGTAGATTATTTCTTTGTTGTAACAATGGGCCTCATGCAAGAACATGTTCGTATTCTTATCCTAAATTTCTCTTACTTTTGTTCGTA